AACCAAGAAACTTGTTTTCTTCCTACACCTCTACGGCCCTCGATTTTGCCTTTAAAGATCAGTCGTAATATTTTATATCGACTTCCCCTTACTATATGTCCCAGATAAGACATTTTTCGATGTATAACAGTCTTTTATGCTGGTATACCAAAACTACGTCAAAAGTACTATTCTCCAAAGGGACCGTAACTATTTTTGTATCAAGTTTATAGCATTATTGCTTTCCCCAGTAGACGTACATTTAATCCCAAGTATTTAAAAGTTTCGGCTCCTTTCAATACGTGTACCCCCATGTGAAGATCATTTGCGTTTATTCTTACTACTGAATTTTCAATTTTTGAAGTGTTTATAGTAAGGCCCCATTCGGTATATTCTTCATTTAGTTTTCGAGGCATATAATCAATGTCTACTTCATCCTCTGCGAGAATTACTATTGCACTTTTTTCGTCAACTGATCAAAGCTTCACTGAGGTAAATTTGGAACAAAGTAGGAGCTATTTAGCAACCTTGCTTAAGATCTTTGTTGATAGTAAATTTGCCTCCGACTTTAGTCACCTATGTTAACGTTTCTACTTTAGGTGTTTATGTTTTGATTTTCCATGACAGTTCATAGTTTAGAAAGCGGCACGCTATCATAAGCTTTATTAATCGTATTTCAATGTTTTCTCTACCACTATTTCAAGGTAAAAATTTTCTCACTCTGAAGCCATTTTGTTCTTCGACTTCTTTTATCTCTTGCTCTATTGTATTCTTAATTACTAATACTTGATGTGATTTGTTAAGCTGTATATGTTTGTCTGAACTGACATTAATTAGCTAAAATTAATTGGCTAAAAAAGATCTCCAGGATTTTTTTGAGTTGGGAACTTCTTCACGTGTCACATTACCATTACGAAGGCTTTTGGACCTTCTGCTACATGGAATAATTCTCCTGAATTTGCTATCTGAGCCCATTCACGAATGTTTTTTAGCCACGAAACATGTTGTCTTCTTACACCTCTCCGACCTTCTATTTTGTCTTTTAGTTGTAGTATTTTATATCATTTCCCCTCAATATGTGTTCCAGGCAAGATATTTTCCGATGTTTAACAGTTTTTTGTAATTCTTTATCTTTGTTGACCTTCCTTAGTACTTCCCGTTCATTTTCCTTGTCGCCCAAGGTATCTTCAATATCCGTGTATGAATCCAATCTTTAATGCTTCAGTTCGGTTCATGGATACTTTTAGGGCCACAATACTGCTTCATACAGGGTACAGACCAAAAATAGCATTTCATAAATCTTGATCTTAGTTCTAAAATGAGATTGTTATTGCAAAGAAATGTGCTAATTTTCAGAAAGGTGGTTTTAGTGAGATTGGTATTCTGCGTTTTATTTCCATGTGTGGGTATAGTTGGTTCGTTATGACGGTTTATAAATATTCAATTTTGTGAACTTTTTCAACTTTGACTCCATTTAATTGAAGCTCTGCATCTGGATGTGTGTTACAGTTAAAGGCTAAAAATCTGGTTCAATTTGAGTTTATTTTAATTCCCATTTCCTCTCTTACTTTCGTGAATAAGATAAAGCAGAATTTGTAGACCTTCATTGTTTTCTGACAGAACTACTGCGCATTTGCGCATAAATATGCGGATTCTAACTCGATTTTTATTCCACATGGCTGTCTCTAAATTGCTTTTTTGAATAAACGGTCCGAGTTAACAGTGAACAATGTCGGGGACAAAATTTAACCGCCTCTGACTCCTCGTTGTATAGAGATTTCGTCAGTGTAGCTATCTACAATTTTTACGGTTGCAGTCTGATTCCTGTACAGATTCTTAATGACACGAATATCTTTATCATATACTCTTATATTTAATAGCACCTACTTTAATTTTACATACTGTACTTTATCTAATGCCTTTTAGAAATCCACAAAGCATGCAAAGCTATCTTTTTTTATCAGGGCATTTCTGTAATAGATAATTTTGCGCCAAAATACTCTAATTAAAATATTAGGTGAGCAGCAGCAGAACGTACTGTTCTCAGACGACAGCAGAGTAGATTTAAAGGCGCAGATGAACTTCAGCATCTAAAAAAACCACCATACGAGAGACTTACTCCACGCACCATAGTGAAAACATTGGATTACCAAGGAGATTCAATAATATAAGGGGGCGTTACTGTTGAGCCTCGTACGAAACTTCGTAGTTTTCTAAAGAGGCAATGTGGCCACTCACAGGTGCAGTGAAGGAGTTATCCAAGATCACGTGGTACTAATCACGCCTTTTATTTAGTAAATTTTATCTTAACGCTAAGGTACGCTGCCATGTCGCTATATCGGTCGCAGAAAACAAATATGTAGAAATCCAAAAATTACTATTACTAATATGTATACCATATCATAGTCTCATAGATCATATTTGGGACAACCAAAACCACGGTTTCGGGATACAATACCATTGCCATATGAGCGCTTATGACATCTGTTTTAAAGAAGTGCCACAATATTCATCAACCGGATATTGTCTTCTTCAAAAATAGCCTGGCTGGATTCCAAACAGTCTACATAAATCAAGAGAAGAAAGTGAAACTTGAAAATCTTAGACATACGGTCAAATTTGGTCATCGATAAAACAAAATGAAATGTTAATCATGTACTCGTAGACCAACCCTCGCCAGTAAGAATATTTGCGTCATCTTATACGTAAAGACCACGTCACCTCGATAAATAAATGACTCTGTATAGCAGCAGCATTCGTGAAGTGTTTTGTAAAGTGTGCACAAAGGCAGTGATTTGAGGATTAAAGAGACTTATCCCAGAAGTCCTGATCAAGACTCTAGAGAAGGAATTGAAAGGTCACCGTAGCAAAATCTTTGTCCGAAGAGTAATCAAATTCGATATTGATTGAATTTTTGATAACTAAAAACATTGCACGCATTACCATATCAAAAAAACGATATATACATACATGTACAAATACCATACAGAAATAAAATGTATGTACTATGTTACCGAAAATTCTAGTTACATGAAACAGGCATCTAGAAAAACTAACTATGTAGAAACTAGTCAAAAAAAGGTAGCATGCAAGGAATCATCTAGAACTGAACAAAGATTAGTAACAACGCAAATGAAAATATTATTTAAGAACTGGATACATACTTCTGTATCTGTATAGTAGGAAGAGTGAGTAAAGTCCCACAGCACTTGAGCCACAATTGACCTATTGTGCAACCTCCCAGGAAGCAGTCGTCCTTAGTCCATTGTCCATCTTAGCCATTTCCAGGAAGGTCGACAAGTTACCAGGGGATATCTCCCTTATGTGGGCAGGTGTAATCCAAGGCTCGTCGAACGGGTACTCTCGTATTGACCATAACTCTGGGCATTCACATAGGACACGCTCGACAGTTTCGTTTTCTCGTTTACACTTCCTGCCTAGAGAAGTGTATTATCCCCAGTATGTGGAGGTGTTTGCATAGTTGACAATGACCAGTTAAAAAGCCATCTGTTAAGCACAGGTTTTTCCTGATCATTCCCAAGTACTTCTTTGATGCTGACTTCTTCCCATCATATCACGGTTTGCGCGTGGGAGTGACATTTGACAATTTCCGCGATTGTTGTAGTTGACCAACCAAAAAGATACACACTTTAGTGAAATAAAAAAGCGAAACATCAACTAAAAATGTTTTTTTTTTGTGCAACATAAAGTTTCATTACCTTAGTTTTTGAAATATTTACAATGATAAAAGAAATATCTAACGATAAAATCTGCATTCAAAAAACCATTTAGCTAAAAACAACATTAACAGTATATAGTAATTTTTTTCTGTTGCACATTGTACAAGAGAAACAACGTTTTATTACGGATTTGAAGCCAATAACAGCAGCATGTTTTTATGGCAACAAAAACACGATTGTAAACTCCTGTAAATTCAAATATCTCAGATATTCTCGATTTATCTGATTCAGAAGAAGAAAATTGACAAAACGAAAATATTTTCGAAAACTCGAATGGCGAAAAAGGTCCGAGCAACATGGTTATGCAAGAAATAGATATGAAGATAGAGAAGAAACTGATGAGGAAGGAGCAAAAGAGGAAATTGTACAAAGAAAATAAGTAAAAAAAGTTCCTACTCGTTTTGATTAGACGGAAAATGATATATAAAGTACTTGAATTCCTCATCCTGATCGTTTTTGCAGCGAAGAGATAGGCTATCCTTCGGAGTACTTTACCAAGTTGTTTTCAATTAACGTTCTTGAAAATATCGATTACCAGTCTAATTTGTACAGCGCACAGAAAAAAAGAAAATTAATCAAGGCTTCGCTCCGTAAAATAAAAGATTTCTTACCCATTTTATTATGAATGGGAGTAATAAATTTACCAGCAGCAGAAGCAGTCTATAATATTCCAAATTGCAGATATTAGTCCTATAAAAAGTATCAGAAGATTTATATACTACAATGACAATAGCCAATTGATTAAAAATCAAACCACTTTTGAATGAAATTTGGCCACATTACCGATTTTATTCCATATCATGGAACATTCACATTTTATGAGTTGCACAATACACCAATTGCGCTTAGCAAAGAAGAAACTTCTTTTGAGTTTCTTTTGGTTGGTAGGTTCCAACGTTGTTAAGACAATTTCTGATCCGTCAAATTCAGTAACTTTTTGTGAAGACTGGCTCTCTGGTCTGGAGTCTTTACAGGGTAAGGAGATGTGTACAAGGAAGGTATAGTAGGTTAGTAGGTCGAGGATATACAGTTTCAACTACTATCTAAGGCATGCTTGTTTGTTAATACTTTAATTTTCTTTCGAAAAGTTTGTTTCGGAAATAGCAGAAAAAGGTTGCTTTAAGATTTGGGCAGAAAAGCATCGTGACATCACTATTAATGTGGCCCATTTAAAACCAGTAATTATTAATCTAAAATTATAATAATTTTACAATTTTGTTATTTCCAAAGATCTACGTTTCGGGATACTTTTTTGTTATGCCTATGATAGAGCAGAAAAAAAATTGAAAATATCAGATGTAATATTTATGTTATAGGTACCAGAATATATAATAAAAATATTTACATTTTGCTTTTCTAGAAAAATAGATTTAATAACTAATTTAACATCATCATATATCAAATAAATAATCAAATTATACACATAACGTGAACAAGAGATTTAAAAATCTCTATTGGGCAGTATTCTTTACAAATTTTATTATATATAGCTACCTCCTTTGAAAGATCTACAATAGTGTGAAATAGTGTCTAGAATTACGAAATAAGATTTCTTAGTTTAATATTTAATTCGCAGCGAAGTGAGTATTTTTCAAATGATCAAAACGTTTGAAATATTTATCAAAAATAGATACTTTTATAACTAATATGTTACTTTCAATTCTTGTATAGTTGTTCGTTGACAATGTCTTAAGTTTTTAATGTGTATGTATATATTTGCTCTAAATTGATATGTTCACGATAACGTTTTGTAACATTGACACATTTTTTGTGTTTTTATTACTTTTTGTGAGTTGTAGACAAAAATATTACTCATATGCAATTATGATTTCTTCGCCTGCAGAGTTTAAAAAGGATCTATTGTAGCAGCGTTGGATAAGTAAATAGTGACAATGAAACCCTGGCAAGTGAAGTCGATCTGAATATCAGATACTGTGTACCAAAATTCGCTAAGATGTGCCACTGAAAAAATATGGAGCTTCCAATCAGTTAATCTACAAAACGATGAGAAAACAAGTCATTCGTGCAAATAACTGCAATCTCACATAATTGGCATTTGCTGTACCTCGTTTAAGAAGTGAACTGACCAGCTACGATGAAAATAAATACAAGGAAAATAAGGAAAATGTTGTTTTAATGCTAGGTGTTGTGGGTTAACTCATTATTACTCAATTTTGAAACAGTAACGTTTTTTTTAAGATGAATAGAGGAAAAATTCTTGTCGAAGTGGGGGAAAAGATTGCTCAAGCTCCTCATCTACGAACGAATACAGACGAAGAACTATTCCAGTCTTCGGGTACTGAGTATGTTGCATCAAACATCGAAAAAGATATTGATCACGTCATAGAAGAAGATATAATTGGAAGTGACGAAAACAATGGGAACTGTAATGACAATGGTGCTATCGTCTTTCAGTCAGACAGGTAGAGTAAAAGGGGGCATCAGGAAACGAGAAAAATACCAATAAAAAGTTATGGGAGAAAAATAAATATGTAAAAAAGCCTTAAAACGCTGCAAATAAACCAAAACCGAATAGACGTTTATTTACAAAAATCATCTAAAAATATGGAAATTATTGACGGTAGAGGAACGAATAGTGGTGAAAAAAATAAATGTACAGATGACCAGATTGCAAAAAATCATGGAACGAATAAAATTTTTTTCCCAAAATATGTTTCTCATTATTTTAAAAAGGATACAAATTCAAACTTTCTAAATCCGGACTTAAATTTAAACAAAATGTACGAACTTTATAAATCGTATTTCAAAAATTCAAAAAACTCCAACTTTCGATATGCAGAAAAGTCACCCAATACCTAAAATTCCTACTGGAACAGCGTATTACAAGAGACAGCTTAATTTTTATAGTTTAGGAATTTATGTCGGCAGCCAAAATCAGGGAACATCCAATGTATGGACTGAAAATGATGCTATTATAGAAAAGGCTCTCAGGAAGTGGGATCGTTTATTATTAATTCATGTTCTGTAAAATCATCGAAAAAATCATGGTAAGATGTTTACTATCCAACACAGCTTCTTACTTAACGACCCATGAATTCAGTGACGGTGAGTCAAAGTTGACAGTTCAAGAAAGATTATATATTGATAATGATTATATGGATGTAATAGCTAAATGTCGCAGAAAGCATAAATTCTTAATAACCCGTCTTGTAAAAAGTGATTTCTCATTTCTGTTGAGAATTTGATCAAAGCTAGTACCAATAGATAAGTTGATGTAGCAAAAACAAAGTGTCTTGGTTAAGTTGCCATGAGATTCTACTGAACAAAGACAAAAACTTCTTAATGAGATCTAATTTAAGTCAAGAATACCAATTGGTTACCATTGAAAAACAATTGTCGAATTCTATCCAATAAAGATCTAAAGTTGCATTTTTTATGGACACATCGAAGACCCATATCCACTGAAAAATTAAAAGATTGAAGAAAATGTATAAGCTAACACCTAAAGATGTTTAGTAGTTTTACAAAGGCATATTATCGTCAAAGACAGCATATGTTCAAGATGATGTCGACGGTTTTGTTGTTTCCATTGATTTTGATGTCGATATCGGTTTGGAGAAAGTAACTGACCACATGAGCTGGAACAAGAAACCCCGCTAAGTGCCAACGACTCAGATACAGCTTTTCTAAGAAAAAGCCTAAAGTGTCGAAACATTATTGTATAACATCATCCAATTACAGTTTTGCCTGCATTTCAACTAAGTTTCATTGGACCATATTCATATATCACTCCGAACCATAATATAAAGAATAATTTAAAGCAAAATCAGCAGTGAGTAATGGAAGATCTATCAATCAGTCCTTGAAAGCTAAGTAGTGTACAAATACTGGTGTACCATTTTCCGAAAGCATCGACGCTGTATACGTCAGAGCTCAAAAATAGCTGCCCTGATAAGTATTAACTCTAGAATTTGTTTGTGTATTTAGTTTTTACTCTCAAAATTGTGTTGTTATTGTATGATCTGCGCTTTTATAAGCACATTAAATTTATGCTTGACTTACTAGATTATATACTGTTTCGATTTTAAAAATATTACTTTTTATAAAGATATTTTTTGGCCACAATAAGAAAAGGTAATAAAAACCAAAAAATCGGGCGTTAAGTAAGGTTGATATGTAAAAGATATGTTGCAAATACAGTTGTAGATATTTAAATAAAAAAAAAAACAATACCATAGAATAAATTTGAACGCAATTATTAATAGTTTCGTAATTCTAGATCATTTGTAAATTGATGCAGTTATGCTCGAGGGTTTTGTCTCAATCACCTGATAAATTAATTTAATACTAACATATACTTCTGATTATGTTTAAACAGTGCTAATATGTGATTTGTTTCTATCGACTGGTATGTAAATAACAAGTTCTTACATTTCTTAGTCAGAAACGAGTATCTGTAATGATTGATTTCCGGTTTTTATATTGTGGTCTGGAAAACAAAACAAAATAGTACAAAACTCTACTGAAATATCACTACGTTCATAACGTAGTTAATCAAACTCACATTTTTGCAACCATTTAGAATTTGGAGAATACATTGATGATAGTTTGCCAGTCAAAAAATGGCCGAAAATATTTTTAATTCAATTAATAATTAAATTTTGAACAAAAAATACGCTGCTCATAACACATATGCATGTTTTTCGTAAGAAATTAAAGCTCTTTTTTAATATGATAATATAAGGTTCCTGATAAAAAATGGTAACAAATTAGGATTGCCAGATGTTAAAAAATCGAGGAATCAAAGATAAAGTAAAGTAGAGTTAGAAAAGAAGGTTTGGCAGATGAAAAAGAAGATTTGGCAACTAAATAATTTGCAAATTAATGTGGACTTAAAAATAGCAACTGACTAGTGACACCTAGGGGATAAAAGTTGAATTATGACAACCGGTAATGTAGATTCCTTCGACCTAATGATGGCGGCTGTATTGTGACGTCAAGATATATCTATCTATCTATCTCTGACACATTGATAGAGCGCTCTCTAACACATTGATTTTCCTGTGTGTGGGAGAATCTCCCTAGCTCCTCTACTGATGCTCAAATGATCGGCAATGTTTTCATTAATTTACTGGAAAATTTTAGTTTTTGGTGTTTTAGTGGGATTTTACGGATGTCCTGTAATATTTTATTCATTAATATGTAATATTTAATCAATTATAGACTCAATGTAATTTTTTACCAACAAAGTCCCATACTTCATAAACATTATAGAGGATAATGTACAGAGCTATAACTTATTTTATAAAGTTTTTCTTTCAAATTGAAAGAGGCTCGATAGAATCGAATAATTCGTCATTATATTTTTGGGTCAGATATATCTTTTAGTCCATGTCATTCTTTGTATTTAGCAATTGGTTTCTCTTTTTTTAACTATGATAAAGTTTGCATACTAAACTCCATCTATGACGGGGGTTTGACATTAAGTTATCCTTGGGTACGTAAAAAGAATTCTATTTCGAAGCCAATTTAAGAGGAAATCAGCCCTGGTTGGTCTCAAAAAAAATATCTGCCATCAACACAATGCACCCATTTACAAGGCAGCTGTTGCACAAACACAATTGGGATACTATCCCAATGATATTGGATTTAACCTAATATGATCATAGCAGGTTCCCAAGCTTTCTAAAATGGCTGGGAGGTTGTTTTGCAAAGAACGGTGCAAACCATTTTGAGGAGTTCGAGTAAAATCACTTCCGAAAGGTATAAAAGAGTAAAAATATCTTATCAAATGTATGGTGCGAAAATAAGGCCAGATTGCAAAAAAAAATGAGATGATTAACAAAAATCGTCGTTTTCTTTGTAAGGCTAAAATATCATCACATTACTCTTGTATAATAGATCTATCTTTTTTATATATACTATTACACTTTAGTTCTGTAATATTACGAGTGGGTACTGGAAAATTAAAAAAAATTGAATCCAAATTATAACCTCGTAATTGTAACGTATAGTCTTGTCTATTTTACCTAAAGCTATAGCTTAATGGTTTGAGGGACCCGCAGTAATAGTTTCTTTTTAGTACATATTACCTACCAGTAGTGATTGGACAAAACCTCTAAACATAACTAAAAATATAAACAGAATAAGTAGAAGTAATACGCCAGATAGTAACATGTTAGATTGTAAAAAGAAATAAAGGTTATAGAATTGTTTTTAACACCTAGATCTTACAGATCTTATCTCTACATTTAAATAAAAAATAAACTTGATCTGTAAAAATCCCATATAGGTGAAAAGCCATAAAGCAACGTAATATCAGTTCAGGTACATTAATAGATAGAGCAATTTTTTTCATACGTATTTTTGATGGATTAGGCACCCAACGCTAAAAAAGAAACAATTTTACATTGTGCAACATATAGAATAAGAATCATACTTTCCTACTTTGTAACACCTGGTAATTAGTTTATTTATGAAAGAAATTACTCTCAAAACTATTGTGGATAGCTATAAGAATATGGACTTGTGTAAAAAAAATATTTGAAATCCTGTTCCTTCGCATTTTGCGAAAAAAAGTTTAATTATGATTTTTTATGTGTTTTTTTTGCTTAAAAATCAATAAAGCCTTGTAGTTCTCATTTTATTATTGCACAAGGTATAATACATATTAAAATAAAGTTTTGAATGGTCACTATCTAGTGTACTCAGAGAAAAGTATTTTTTAGCATAAGCTCTATGATACTTCCGTCTAAGAGATTTGGTGCTCGTGAGATGTAAGATGACTAGCGTATTAGGCACTTGTGAAATAGAATAAGAAGGTGAAAACTTAAAAGGCACTTTGACAGTCTTCCAAATGAGCTCCTCAACTACCACAGTTACGTTAATTGGTTAACAGTTCATTCTAAAATAAAAAGATCAGATTAGAGCAATACATTATTCATTTAATTTTTTTAAATATGAATAATTCCAATAAGGGTTTTATAAATATTTCCTTTAATAAGTATAGTGACTTTTGTAGTGTGTATGTGTAAGTGTAAATGTAATGTTTCAATTGCACAAATTACCCGCTCTCTTTCAAAAAGCACTTCAACCAGCAGAACATTTACATTTTTTTACATTTCATAGCAGTTGGCAACTAATGAGTTATGAAACATACCTGATCGACTTGAAGGTAAGCTTTTTATTTAAGTTTTGTTAGAAACAACAGCAAGGGATCAAGATTTTTATAGAGGAAAGTAAATTAATCCCCACGAAATAAGCAAAAAATTTCAGGAAGATCCCACTGTTCGAAAAGGACTTACAAGATGAAAGAAAAACTATCGGATCCCACAATAATTTACTACTGCCATGATGAATATTATACAAAATATTGTTTTCAGATGAAAGTCATTTTTTGTTATAAGGGCAGAGATCTCGTTTTGTTAGAGTACGTGACAACAAAAGCTTATGATAGCTCATAAGCTCATAGCTCATAATTAAAGAATATGCACTTGTGTAACAAAATTACTTAATATAATAAAAGAAATAAAAGAAAAAATGAGAGTAATACTCCAGTCATCAGAAACGAAAATGCCACTGAACCTCTAAAAAGCTAAATTTTGTTGAGAATATCAATTTTGAGACCCCGAAAAAAAAAGGTTAACACTCAGGAACCCTTATCTTTATTTTTTATAGACCTTGAACCAAACAGTAACAACAAAGACATATTCAACCTAGAATTCTTATGTCACATCAAAATAGCAGTCGATGCACCAAATAAGAGAAACTCAATCATCCAATACATGCGATGTCAAGCATGTGGCCATAGTAAAACATATTGCACTAAACTGCATTACTGCGTATAATGTGGAGGATAACATGATACAAAAGATTGTAAAAAACCTAGAAGCGCTCCAGTTAAGTGTGCACTATGCAAACAAGATCACCCTGCTAACTATAAGGGCTGTGTAGTCTACAGGAAACTAGTATAAAACAGATATATGCAGAAAAAAGGAAACCAACAGCCTCAAAGAACAACATTCAACAGCCCACATGTATCTACCGAAACAAATCAGCTAAACACCACTATAAAAAACCATCAAAGAACATATGTATGCAAACGTGACAGCACGTCAAACCAACCACGATTCAGAACCTAAAACTAATATAGAACAAAAACTATTAACATTCTTAAACGAGTTCAAAAACATGTTCTCGCAGCTCATGAGTCAAAATAGTCAATAAAATTTATGACGGACTAAAAGAACCGTTTTGTTTGACCATAACCAAAAAAAATTATTTCCATTGTATATAGTATAAAACAAATGAAGTCTACGGTACCGCCTTTACCCCCAAGCAACACTATAACACTGTAGACAAGTCTAATTTCTCTATTTCTGGAGTAGTGATAGTTCTATACACATGCCAACGTGATAAACTAGAAATAAAATTAATTCCATAAAATTAAACTTTAATTAAAACACAAAAAAATAATCTCCAGAAAAGAGCTAGAAAAAAAATTTCTACAAAGATAATTTTGCAGAAACTCATACAAAATCACGCATTGTATAACCATTGAAGTTTATTTGGGGATCAACATCAATGTGACAAATTAAACAACGTAGTAAAATCTAATCTAATTTTTAAACTTGCGAACGGTGTTATTCAATAAAGATATACCGCATATGATTATACAAGTTAGTTATCAAGAACAATAATTTTTGAAAAATGATAATTGAGTTTTAACGACAACACTGTTTTCGAGGTTGTGTTTATAAATAATGTATTAACTTTTATATTGACATACAGTCAGATAGTCATAGAATACCGAATTTGTTAAAGTATCTCATAAAACATGACAATGCTAACCAGTAGAAAAGAACAGCAGATAATCGAAGCTCATCAAAGCTCATCTCACACTGAGTAGCGTATTGTTTACGCTGTTAAGTGAATTTTAAAAATGATGTACTACAATAAAAGTATTTTAACAATATTTATGTTTTTATATGTATTTGAAACACAATTACGTGAAGCTTATTTAGCTTTTTAAAATTGGTTGTAAGTAAATATCTACTCGAAAAATGTGTTGATAACAAACGACAAAACTAATGCAAATATTTAATTAAGTAGAAACATAAAATCATTACCTCACTCTACCGCAAATCCACAAGTCTCTTCAACAGCCTGAGTAAGTTTATCTAATAACACTTGGTACGACTCGTACGGCGGTATGTCTATTCTATTAAAACAGGTGTGCGCTTTGGGCAGATTTTGTGGGGGTACGTCCACGCAGTGTATTGTGAAGAGCCTAGGTCCCGCCGCTCCAGTACTACCCTGCAATGCTTTGAAGCCTTGAAGAGGCACCCTAGAACTTCCCGTCACAAACTGAAGGAGGCGCGCCCTCATTTCTTCAGAATATGAGTCAACTGCTTGCCAGAACCACTGGACTACTGGGGTTTCAGGCGTGCAATGTTTTAGTCTTGTGTGCGCACGCCAGTCAGCTAAAAGCAAAACAAGTGGATATTAATTATAGAACGATTTACTTATAGATATTTAAATATATTGGTATATAAACATATTTATGATAAACAACAAGCAATGAACAAAATTGGGGACGATCAGTGTAGTGACTCTCTTAAGACTCTCAATGCTTTTTAAATGCATTCATTTTTTTCGAATTCATATATAGGACGTCGCGTTTGGAAAAGAATTTCTGTGTCTATGACACTAAAAGAGCTGAGGATTGCTGCAGAAGAAGAATGGAATGTAATTCCTCAATCATATATTCAAGATTTAATTCAGAGAAATAGCTGATAAAGAGAAAATCTAAATTAAGACTGTACAAGTCGATTATTCGCCCAGTTGTTGCATATGAAGTGAAACATGGACTCTACATCAGCGGAAAATAAATAAGCTTCTAGTATTTAAAAGAAAGGTTCTTAGAATGATAGTTGGACCCCAAAGAGATGAATTGATACTAGTGGAGAATGCGAAGCAATGCTGAATTGGTGACTCTCTATAGTACTGAAAACATCGTCAGACATATAAAAGCTAATAGGATAAGATGGACAGGTCATGTGGTACGATCAGAGGAAGACAGAGTGCCAAAGACAGTGTTTTTTGAGAGACAGGCGGTAAAAGATCAGTAGGAAAGTCCCAGAAAAAGATGGAAGGATAATGTTGAAGCTGATTTATCTAGGATTGGGGTACAACAATGGGAAATGGAAGCGCAAGATCGTAGAAGATGGAGAGCTATAGTAGATGCGGCGAAGACTCGCTCCGATAAAGTCTTAAATAAAGTTTTCTTTTCAGAAAAAAGTATTTTGGTAACATGAATCCATCATATTGAACATATTTATGATAATTTCAAAATATTCCAAATTTTTGTCCATGAATGTATAATATAAATTTACTAATATATCAAAACGTACCAATATCTATGGATCCTATTCCACTAATGACAAGTTCCAGCTCCCGTTCGTCAAATGGCCTCAAAGATGTCGACGGAATGAGTTCTGAGAAACCCTTTTGCAACGCCAGGAACTGCTGTTCGATGCCTCTCATAAATCGATAATTTACGTACAACTTTACGTATTCTCTTTTATTTTCTTCCGTGACTGCTATCGACGCTCCTCCAGGTTTAAGTTCGTGAACTTTGACAATACCAAAGCTATTGTTCTCAACGGAAAAGGTCGTGTCTAGCACACCGTCGATGTTATTTTCTCTGAAAGACGAGGATAGTTATGATCCGTTTACTAAATACGAAGAGTAAATGAAAGTTACATTTAAATGAAATCAGTGGCTTCCCGGTCAGAAAGCACTCAGCTAAGAAATAAATGTTTACACACTTCAAAAATACTTTTCTTTTCCATTCTTTGGTTTTTTTTTTAATAAAAAAAATATTATCCATAAGGATTGAATATTTAATGTTACACTATGAATGTCGAAAGCGTTGCATCAGAACTAAAAGATACATTTAAGAAATTACTTACAACATCCAGGTGAGACTTCGATGCAATTCAGGATCTACTCCTTCAATATCTTGAAGCGTAATCGGTTTGTTCAATAGCTGCTTATAAAACGGAAGAGTGAAACCTCCTTCCAACTGATGATTATGAAACACCGCTATTCCCAATATCCTTCCCACGAAATGAAAGTATGAAAGATGTTCGGGATTCACCGATGAATCTGGATTGATTTGTAACGTGTAGTGATCGTCCCTGCTGTATTGAAAAAGGCCGTATTGAGGATTCAACATTTCGCGCGATAAGAGATGTAGCCACTCTCTTGCAACGCCGCCATAGTCTAGGCCTTCTTCGCCGCGGAATTTTACCATCAATCTTTTGCGCATATCTTTTGGGCGCATTTTCATAATAAGTCTGCAAAATAAAGGTACATTTGAGAATAAGTACAGTCCATCTAATTTACTTACCGTTGCACGTCATTATGATTGACAGAGATCAAAGTTGACATAGTTGCCAAAGTATAAAAAAATACTGAATCCATTTTAATTCAAAAAGGTCACAAAATTATTGCAAAAGAGAATTATACAACAAAACAAATTAATATTTGATGTAAATAAATAAAAACAACACAAGAGTTAAAATATAATATTGTTAAAAACAATTTGAGCCGCTTGTATGCGTCGTATAAAGATGTAAAATGGAATACTTAAACAAAACAACACTTTTTTCAACACCGTGTCAACACCGCAACTGTCAAATAAGTGTTACCAATTTATGCTAAAAAATCACCTTCGTTCGATTACAGTTACAGTGTGTTCCGAACAAATGTTCTTCATAAAAACGTTTTATAATGAATTTATACAAATTAAATGAAACATATATTATTGTGTATTTCTTCAAGTTAACATTAATAGAAATCTTTAAATATTATTTCTACGCGTATATAATAAAATATGTCTAGTGGCTGTAATGCAAGTGTACTCGGCAAAGTAATTCTAAAAAAGAACACACCTACCGCCTAAATATTTCGTGTTGGTATCATGTGACCCCTCACGGGCTATAACGCGGATGACGTGCAACGGCAAGTAAATTAGATGAAGTATAGATACTCTGTACTAGTAATGATCCTAAAATGTATACATAATTACAACGATTTGTCAATAACTGTCCCCGCGTTTCTTTTTTAATATAAACAAAATATTATCTAGAATTTACCGATTAGTAATAGTTTTTTACCGATTGTTTACCTGTAACTCTCTTCAAAAACTTCATTTCTGGACACTTCCAGTCGACAATGTCCACTTTGTGGTTGTAGAGCATTTAGTTCTGCTCTGAGAACTTTCAACTTGGCCACGAGATCTCGCCTATACTTTGGTAGGTGTTCCGATTCGTTTAGGAGGCTCTGAGGTAGATCTTCGTTCCTAATCTGTTCGGGCCTTATTCTGGGGGATACTGGGTCTGGATTTGAGTGATGTGAAGATGACTGACCGTCTGGTTCAGTGGTACTGAAAAACAATTATTAATTTTTAACAATGAGATACTAAAAAGTTATAAAATATGATTTAAGATTTAAGCATTTACCATACAATTAAAAGGCCTACACAGCCTGTTGAGCATTTTAAATAAATAAAAATATACGTTTATACAAGGATGATTCTCAATTTTTTTGTAGTTCCTCGTTTTAAAAAATAATAACTGTCTATAACTTTAAAGACATAAATAAATAAAGAATTCATGAATGTGTTGCTTGTGTGAGTCCATATCAAATAGGTAAAGAAATAATAATAAGACTTACTCACAATCAATTTAATTTAACAATCTGACGACCGGTTTCGCTTTCTACAATTTGCAAAGCATCTTCAGGTCTAGATACAAAGTTAAACTAATGATGCCGGTACTCTATTAATTGATGGATGGTAGGTCATGGTTGCAAAAATCATGTATTGTTGATTGGAGAACTTTAATGTGCTATTGCAGTTGTTTTGACAATAAACGGGAAGTTCTTGAGGAGAACAGATTTGATCCAATGAATTAGAGATAGGTATATTGTGGTTGTTTGTCAGATGAAAGTGATGTTCTTTACTATTGTATTATTTAAATTATTTACACTTATATCAGAGATATATTTTTTGGAATGTGTGTTATTTATTGAGTATTTATGTAATGAAGGAGACAGTTTTATGACAATGAATAAGAGTAGCTGTACCGATTGTGTGGTTGTGCAATTATTTTGACTTGTAATTATCAAGTCTATTGGCAAAATTAATAAATTATTGTAAAGTCAACTATGTAAAAAGTATATAAAAAGTATATAAAATTATTACAAATTAAGACGATCAGGGACAAATTAAACACACATTAACAGGAACAGAAACAGATGTAGTGCTTGCAGTTTCTTCCATCCCCCAAGTTTAAGTTTTAAATTCAATGTTTGTCCCGTCATTTAGTGTTTCTGTTCCTGTTAATGTGTGTTTAATTTGTCCCTGATCGTCTTAATTTGTAATAATTTTATATACTTTTTATATACTTTTTACATAGTTGACTTTACAATAATTTATTAATTTTGCCAATAGACTTGATAATTACAAGTCAAAATAATTGCACAACCACACAATCGGTACAGCTACTCTTATTCATTGTCATAAAACTGTCTCCTTCATTACATAAATACTCAATAAATAACACACATCCAAAAAAATATATCTCTGATATAAGTGTAAATAATTTAAATAATACAATGGTAAAGAACATCACTTTCATCTGACAAACAACCACAATATACCTATCTCTAATTCATTGGATCAAATCTGTTCTCCTCAAGAACTTCCCGTTTATTGTCAAAACAACTGCAATAGCACATTAAAGTTCTCCAATCAACAATACATGATTTTTTGCAACCATGACCTACCATCCATCAATTAATAGAGTACCGGCATCATTAGTTTAACTTTGTATCTAGACCTGAAGATGCATTGCAAATTGTAGAAAGCGAAACCGGTCGTCAGATTGTTAAATTAAATTGATTGTGAGTTAGTCTTAATATTATTTCTTTACCTATTTAAATAAAGAATTAGTTACACAATTAGTATTTTTAAGCTTCTTATTGTCATTCTATGAGGTGTTCAGAACCATAGTGGATCATGTCCATAACACATCAGGCAGATATTTAGAGTTAAACTTAACAAGCCCTCCACTATTACATAATATACCAACGAACCTAATCTAAGTGATTACCTATTTTGTAATATATATTTTAAATAATAAAACTAGGTGTAATATTAAATAATTGACTTGATCCATTATTACTCTGAAATATTTGGTGAAAAGTATGGATTAAAAAGCGAAGTATGACAAAACTGGAATTTTAGTTACAAAAATTAATAACAAACAAAAAACTTATTACAACAAAGTTCAATAATTCTCTCACAGCTTAAGTAGCATTAGTTTTAATCATGATAGACCAATTCATATTCGTCGTCGTCTTCATGCTGTTGCTGGATTCGTGAACGGATTGCTGTGTTTATGCGGAGATTTTTAAACTGATAGTGTGGCTAGTGGCAGATATGGGAGGAGTGACAGCATGTCCTTTTTTGCTTCGGTCGGAGTGGAGTAGAGATGACTTTGATTAATAATGAATTTTGAAACATTTGTTTTGGCCATGAGACAGTAAAACACGGAAAATCTTCTTTCATTGTAGGTTTGTACTTCAAAGCCCAAGGATTTTCTCTCTCGTACCTCACCCATCTCATTTCTAACCACTTCACAGATTCTCCATCAATATCTTTTTTCTATTTACAAGCACATGTTCTATGTTCTTTGTCGACACAATGTCGCTCCTTTTTTGTTAATTACTTCAAAAGGCACTGTCAATTTCAAAGTTTTTATTACATCAATTAAGTCGTCTGGCCCAAAGATGTGACAAGATTTTCTGGTAGCCTCTTCGATAATTCGAAAATCTCGATAGTTTGGCAAAAAGGAGTGGCCAGATACAAGAAACTTGTGATCTATGGTTCTTATGTTTGTGTAAGGATCTTGAACAAGATTTAGTAACGTGGCAGCCACTTTAAAATTTCTGTACATGAGCCTAAATAGAAAGTTACGTGGTTATGATTTTTGGCATGTTTTCTTAGATGGTCAATATTGAGGATAATCTATCTCCATCTGTTCCGTCCCACACATACATAAAGCCGTTGTTTTTGTTGAAGGAATGAATTCTTAGGTTGTAGATATACATATTTCTTTTGTAATATGCAATAGATGTAAACAATGTCGGGTGTGGCAGTGCTTTTTGAAGGTCAAAAGTAACAACATAGTGTTCTATGTTGCCACTTTTGACCTTCAAGCTACTTTTGTTCTTCTCGAGCTTGTTTTACTTTTCCTAGGTGAACATTTTTCTCAACAACTGGTGAATTGCCTTCTTTGAACTTTGCCTTGGCTATTGCATTTTGTTACAGACAGGTCATAAGTTTTTCTGATATTTAAATCAGAATTAAGATACTTTCTCAGGATTCTTTGTTCTGCTATAATGACTTTGATGCGCTGGGAAAGATTTTATATGTTCAACGGTATCAGAGTCGTCAATCTTATTGGTTGAGTGTCTATCACTACCGTGCGTAAGGTGGAACGTCTATACGAAGTACTTTTTACAAATCTTTTCAGATTTGCCACGGTCTGTTAAGATTTATTCGTATGACATTTTTTTGCATTGCCAGTTTCATCCCTGTGTTGTTAACGTTTCACCTTCACAGCCAACACAGAGCTCCGAATGTAAATATTCTGTTTAGTATAGTCTCCCAAATTCCAGAAATATTGAAATATACGTTTCCTTTCCTCTTCCTCAAATTTTTGATACCACTTCTTTTTGTAACCACAGTTTACGTTTGTGAAAATTTTTTTTCGGTACATTTTTGCCTGTAACTGAACGATACGCTTCACCTTTATTCCTCAGACGTTTTTTAGTATTCTTTATTATTCTTTATCCATCTATCTTGATTCTTAGTACGTTTTCTTTAGCGATTTTAGCTTGGTTGTGGTTGTGGATGCATACTTGTAGTTGGAAGCATTATGGTGGTAGCTACAGATTGTTTTCGTTATTCTTTTAAAGAGCGCCACATGAATTTTAAGACAAAAACGGATAAAAACAACCTTATTCACATTCACTCAATGATTAATAGTAAACGCCAGGATCCTGGCCAGGATTCTATATAAAAAATACCTAAATATAAATATTATAAATAAATCTGGCAACAACGCCTTGAAATGTTACCAACATCATGTAACCCATAACTGCATCGTAAAAATGGATAAATAATCTTCTACTTACGAACTATTGACAAAGATCACTACTAAAAGTTAGGTTAGAATAAATAAATTTATCAAATTCATAACTACTTAGACTTACCTTCTGATTCTGACTCTGAAGACGAGTGTTGTTCTGGAGGTACATAATTATCAGATGATCATGCAGATAAATTACTAACGTCGTTATTTGCATCCATTTTTAATAACAAAACGTGCACAATAAATACACTGAGCGCAATCTGACAAGTCAACTGGGCGTGATCCGCTCTGTCCCAAAATATGTAACATTGTTCAGAGGCATATGAAACTACCGCCATCTGTTTAAAATTGCGGTATCTTTGTACATGAGTTTGTTATAGCATCGAAAAGATTTTTATTTGTAGAACCATCGAGCAATAAGACAAAAGAGGGAATCTAATCGTTATGAAAAGGAGACCAAAAAAGTGGCCTCTGATGGCGGACATATCCGGAAATGCAAATGCGCCAAATTTAAATTTCATGACACTTGACAATAATCATACAGTGTTGTAGGGGTTCTAATTTATCTATTTATTTATTTTATATTACATAATATTTTATATTATATATTTATCTATTTATTTATTAAAATTATTATTAAAATACTTTTTTAACACTAGAACACAATAAAGTTTTAATTAATTAATAACGATAATAGTCTAAAATGTTAAAAAACTTCAATAGAAAATATAAATAAGCTTTCATGTGACAGTTTTGACAAACAATAACATCAACAATAACATAACCCAACTAAATTTGATTTCTTAAACAAGGAAAGAGATTCTTTCCTTGTTTAAAGTGGCCTCTCAAAATAGCACTTCCTGTCTATCAATATGTTTACCCCCACTACCTTTACATTCCCTCTTTTGTCTTATTGCTCGATGTGTAGAACATAGATACACTGCTAATTTTATTTCAGTAAAAGTGGACTTATCCACTATGGTTCTGAACGCCTCATATTAAAGTTGAGTACTGGAATCTGACAGATTCCTATCCAATTCAGGTTTAACAAACTCTTCATATTATTCTACTAGATATCGCATAATTCATGGAACTATCTAACATTTTTTTGGAAGTCGTTTGTTGTTATCACCTGTCGTACTATAACCAATTGACATATTGTACTTCGTACATTCGTGTGACCTGCTGAATCTGCCGGGATCAAACTGGGTAAGCCAGTACCTAGTCATTGAGCCACGGCGGCCACTACTACCTCCCATCGTACAATTTTGTCCATCGACTGACACGACCAACCAGCGAATTACAAACCAGAGTAACAGACACAATTAGGAATTTATAGTATGATATTTGAAAATTTTCTTGTTGGAGTGTGCCTTGTTCCAAGTTCCCACTCTAACACGGTCAGTCCGCTGAGCTATCGAGCCGACAGATATCCAATATACCAACTCCAGCATATAAATGATCCCTGTGTATGTAGAAGAAAAAAAAATAACAGATGAGAAGAACGAGGCATTTAGGACCATGCAACAACGAAAAACTAGAACAACAATAGATAGATACAAAAACTTAAGGAGAGAGGAAAAACGCATACACCGAAAAAAGAAACGAGACTCGGAAAATGACATGTTAGAACGGCTCGAAAGTTATATGAGTCACGGAGAAACAAGAAAGTTCTACCATCAAATAAATAGTATTAGAAAAGAATTCAAACTAAGAATCAACTATTGTAATGATAAGGAAGGCAACTTACTTACCAACAAAGAGGACATCCTTTTACGATGGGTAGAGCACTTTCGAGAGTTGCTGGAAGGGGAACCTACTAACAATATAGAGCTGGAATACCGAAATGAGGAACTCGTGGAACCCCCCTCGGTAGATGAAGTAAAAATATCTATAGAAAAACTAAGGAACCATAGGTCCCCAGGTAGCGATGGCATCCCAGCAGAGTTATTTAAGCACGGTGGAGAGCAGCTCACCAAGGTGATGCGAGAAATTGTTTGTAGAATTTGGTCTGAGGAGCAAATGCCAGAAGAATGGAGCTTAGGCTTAATTTGCCCGTTACACAAAAAGGGAAACCAACTGGAATGCAATAATTACCGCGGAATAACTCTCCTAAATACAGCATACAAGATATTATCAAATATTTTGCACGAGAGATTAAAGCCTTATACTGAAATGTTTCTAGGGGAATATCAGGCAGGATTCAGGCCTGGACGTTCAACCATTAACCAGATCTTTACACTACGACAGATCCTCGAAAAAGCGCAAGAGTTTAACATAGATATGTATCATATTTTTGTCGATTTTAAAGCGGCATATGACAGTGTCTTAAGACCAAGTCTTTACAACGCTATGAATGAGTTAGGAATTCCAAAAAAACTCATATGTTTGATAAAAGTGACAATGGCGAAGATGCTATCAGCAGTAAAAATTCAAAACGACTCGTCAACCCCATTTCAAATACATAGGGGGTTAAGACAGGGAGATGCGCTGGCGTGTCAGCTTTTTAATGTCGCCTTAGAAAAAGTTGTAAGAGACGCTAATTTAGATAGCAGGGGAACAATATTTAATAGATCAGTCCAAATTCTAGCATATGCAGACGACGTGGACATTATAACAAGAACTAGGGCGAGAACTGTGGAAATCCTAACCGAGCTAGTAGCAGCAGCAGAACGAATGGGGTTACATATAAATCAAAATAAAACCAAATTCATGGCGACTAACACAAACACAAGAGCTGGAAATGTTGACACAAATTTAATCATCAATGACCAAACTTTCGAAGCAGTCAATGAGTTCATATATCTAGGGACATCGGTTAACCCCAATAATAATACATCTGAGGAAATAAAAAGGCGAATAATAATTGCAAACAGGTGTTATTATTGTCTATCAAAGTACCTAGCTAACAAACGTCTGTCTCAAAAAACTCGTATAAGGCTGTATAGAACACTGATAGTCCCCGTTCTCACATACGGATCAGAGGCATGGACGCTAACGAAAACAGATGAATCCGCTCTATCAATTTTTGAAAGAAAGGTGCTACGCAAGATATTTGGAGCGGTCTGTGAGAACGGAATATGGAGGCGTAGATATAACTTCGAACTGCAGAATATCTACAAGCATACGTTTGGTGGTAAAGATATTACCACTATAATTAAGCGAAACCGCCTGCAGTGGGCAGGACATGTAGCCCGGGCCCCTGAATCGAACATGATAAAAAAGATTCTAACAGCGCAACCTGTGGGAATGAGACGACGGGGTAGACCAAAGCTGAGGTGGATGGATGGGGTAACACAAGATGCGGAGAAGATCGGAGTCGGCAACTGGAAAATTCAAGCAAGGGACAGAACAGATTGGCGTAGAAAGCTTGAGAAGGACGAGGCCCTCTAAGGGCTGTAGCACCAAGATGATGATGATGATGTGTATGTAGAAGAATAGTCTGATGTTCTTACAAACTCATTTTAGACTTACATCCTTTAAAACTTTCAATATAATAAGTGATTTAATGTCTAAAGTTCACCAGTAACACAAACTCTAAAAATCATACAAAAGTAAATACTACTAACCCTTCTATTCCTTTAATACATACCTAATAGTGGCTGTGGCTGTAGTGGTGGTAGGTGTAACTGTTAAACACGTACTTGCGACAGGTTGACCAGGTGGATTACTTCCATTCCTCCTAATAATGTTACTCAAAATTTGAGAATTTAATCTAGGATCGGTAAACTGAGTTGTACGCTTGTTGTGATCGACGAAATATATCTAAAAGAAAATAAAAAATGTGAACTAAACAACACTATATCTATACGGATCATATAAAAACACGCAGGTTAAATTTTGAGAGTGGAAAAAATGGATAAATAATAAACCGAAATTGCACTCTGATACCTGAAAGAGTTTAGAGAGCGGGAGAAGAAATTATTTATCTACCATTAACAGTATATTCCAGAAACATTAGAAATAATATATTGTTCAGGATGAACGTTCAATGTTCAAATACTTTTAATTCGCGATAACATGCTGGTATTTACAAATTTCAAATACAACAAAGTGCTGTTTTCAAGGCATATACTGTCCTACATCGATTTACGCGGGGGACAAGGAAGGAGCCTCCACGAGATCAATGGTGCCACATCAACTGCAAAAAAAACACTATTGACGGCGTCCCCTGGAAACGTCTACTAGTAGACGGCTAATCCTTCCAACACCGGACCAAACCAAATCCGATGGCAAAGATCAAGCCACAACGGTTCTTCTCAGAGCCAACACTGACAGTAGCGAGCATAAATATCGAGGGCATCACTACAGCCAAACAAGACATCTTATCAGAATTTTGCATGAACACGAAATGTGAGGTATTGTGCATCCAGGAAACCCACAGAGACCTAACTGCAGCGAGACCGAAAGTCTCTGGTATGAAACTGATTGCGGAGATACCACACAATAAGCATGGGAGCGCGGTATTTGTGAGAACTCAAACCATAGTCTCATCTGTGGAAACAACAAATGTACACGGTATAGAGATAATAACCACTGAGATCGGAAAATGCACAATAACCTCGGTATACAAGCCCCCAAACCAGCCTTTTATATTTTCACCCCCAATTAATTTTCAATCACAAGCCAATCAGCTTGTACTGGGAGACTTTAACAGTCACAGTTTACTCTGGGGCTATGCAGATTCGGACGCAAATGGAGACGCAGTAGAAGCATGGGCCGAAACGAGTGGCCTCACGTTAATCCATGATCCTAAACTTCCACCATCTTTTCATAGCAAAGTTTGGAAAAGAGGATATAACCTGGATATCTGTTTTTCAAGCAACAACCTCGAAGACCGATGTACCAAAGTAGTATATGGCCCCATACCAAAAACTCAGCATAGACCAATTGGTATAAATATCTTTTCAATTGTCAGACCACAAGCTATTCCATTCAGAAGGAGATTTAACTTCAAAAAGGCAAACTGGCAAAAATATGCAGACATGCTAGATTTTGAACTACTACGCCTTGAACCAAAAGTAGAGAACTACGAAAAATTCGTAGAGGTACTCAAAAATGTGTCTAGAAAAACTATCCCTAGAGGATGTAGACAACAATACGTTCCCGGGATGTCCAGCGAGTCCAAAGAACTAATGAGAACATACGAAACCCTCTATTCCACTGACCCTTTTAGCCAAGAAACGGTTGACTGCGGAGCAGTACTACTCCAACAGCTAAGTCAAGCCAGACAGGAAAAGTGGATTGAGACCCTGGAAAAAATGGACATGACACATAGTAGCAAAATTGCATGGAACCTTGTAAAAAAACTCAGCGGTGATCCAAAAGAACATAAACCACCTTGCAAGGTTACAGCAAACCAAGTCGCTACTCAACTCCTTACGAATGGAAGAACTACTATCCGATATAAGGACCCAAACACTAGGAGAAGATTGGATTCGGAGACAAACCACCTAGGAACTCCTTTTACACTAAAAGAACTCCACGACGGTCTGAACAGGTTAAAAAACGGGAAAGCTGCAGGTGTGGATGATATATGCAGTGAACAAATAAAGCATTTAGGCCAAGGAGCAAAAAACTGGATCTTGCAATTTTATAACACGTGCTGCAAAACCTGCAAAATTCCAAAATCATGGAGGAAATCTAAAGTAATAGCCTTGTTAAAACCAGGAAAGGATCCAGAAGACCCCAGTAGCTACAGACCTATTTCGCTATTGTGTCACTTTTTTAAACTATACGAGAGACTCATACTCGCCAGAATAGAAAAAAATGTCGACAAGCACCTCATCCCACAACAAGGAGGATTCAGACCTGGCAAATCTTGCACCGGTCAAGTCCTCGCATTAACAGCACACATTGAAGAGGGCTTTGAAGAAAAACTTATAACAGGGGCTGCTTTTGTAGATCTGACAGCAGCCTATGACACAGTAAGGCACAAAACATTGCTCCGCAAATTATACGATACTCTCAATGACCACCATCTGGGAAAGGTCGTATATTCCTTACTGCAAAATAGACGTTTTTTCGTTATGCTGGAGGGTAAAGTAAGTAGGTGGAGAGTTCAAAAAAAACGGCCTCCCACAAGGAAGTGTTTTAGCACCAATGCTCTTCAATATATACACAAACGACCAACCTACTCCGACCGAAACCAAGCACTTCCTCTATGCTGACGATCTTGCAATATGTGCTCAAGGAAATAGTTTTGAAGAAGTGGAGGAGAAACTTGAAACTGCCTGCAGAATTCTCTGAGACCCAATCCCTCTAAAACCCAAGTCTGCGCTTTCCACCTTCGCACAAAAGAAGCCGAGCGAAAACTCCAAATTGTGTGGAATGGTAATACATTAGAACACATAAACCAACCTATATATCTTGGAGTAAATCTGGACCGGTCCCTCACCTACAAACAACATTGTAGAAAAACAAGAGGGAAAGTAACAACTAGGAACAGCATACTCAGAAAGCTAACGGGAAGTAAATGGGGCGCACGTCCTGGCGTTTTAAGAACAACGGCACAGGCACTGTGTTTCTCAACTGCTGAATATGCATGCCCCGTTTGGAGCAGATCTGCCCACACCAAACAAGTTGATACTGCGCTAAATGAGACATGCAGGATAGTAACGGGGTGCATGAAACCAACGCCACTTTCAAATCTATATAGAGCAGCGGGTTTTGCAGAACCCTCAACACGCAGAGGCGCTGCAGAACACATAGAGAAAATTAAACAGATAGCGGACGATCGGCATGCCCTATACAAAGCTCGAACACCACGAAAGCGACTAAAATCTAGGAAAAGTTTCCTTGGAACAGTGAAGGATGAACCGTCTGAGTATTTTCCACTTCCCCAGGTTCAATGGACCGGCCAGACCCTAGACTTTAAAACGTGGAAAACTTTGAATAGGATAAGAACGGGGGTTGCTACAGTAAAATCAAAAAATGGGGAAAAATAAACCAAGATGATGTGAACTGTGACTGTGGAGAAACACAGAATATGGAACATCTTCTTACATGCAGAAACTGTCCTCATCGATGTACCCTTGAAGATTTGTGGCTCGCCAACAAAGATGGAACCGACGTAGCCCGATACTGGGCAGAAATTTTATGAATGACATGTCCGGACACGATAAAGTAAGTATCGATTTACGCTATAGAATGTTTTCTTTATCCATTTTGTACACTATATTTAATTTTAGATTTGCAATAGGAACATGTTACTTACCCGCCCGGAACTGGTTTGTCTCATTTCCCAACCTGGCGGTAATGGTCCTAAATGGTCCAAATCGAGACTAAGTGGTGTTAAATCTTTGGGTATTCGAGGATCATGCCACGTGGATACTCCCGTTGGTATATGAAAAAAGTAAACTTGTCCTTGTTGAGTTGTTCGTAATTCTAAAATAAAATATTATTTTGTTAAATACAGTAAGTTAGAAAATTCGATAGGAAATTTATCTTTTTTTTTATTTTATCTTCTTTTGTCCATTTTTTCTTGGTTTTTCCTTATTTTCTATCTAATTACACTATATATGCCTTTATACTTTTCGATGTCTCTTTTTTATCAATTGGAGTATCTCATCATTGACCCATGATTTTGTTGTGTTACCATCTTTTCCCCTTTAGAATATCCTTTGTTGTATTCAGCATTGTTTTTAAAGGTTTTCCATTTTCTGTTCGAATCTTCTTTTGGATTGATAATATTTATCTTAATTTCCTCTTTAATTTTTTTGGATAGCTGATCTGTTAGAAATGAATCTTTTAAAAATGAACGTTGTATTTGATTCTTATTGCAGCGTGTAATTAGGTTTTTGAATCGGAGATCGAATGTTACAACCACCGGATTATGCTCTGTGGATGCATCAGCCTCAAGGTATGGTTTTGCTGATTTAATGGTGTTTCGAAATTTTTTTCTTATTAAAATATATTCAACACATTTCTAATAACTTTGTTAAAACTATCAGCAGGCGATCTCCAAGACTCTGTAGAGTCTACGATTAGGTAATTTAAAGTTTTTGTAACGACCAGACTGTTCCCTTGACAGAACTCCACCAATTAGTCCACACTCTCATTTCTTAAACCCAGTTATTACTTCCCAACAATATCTTCTACTTCCCCTTTTCCTACTATCGAGTTAAAATCGTCCATAATAATCGTGATATCTCTATGCTTTGTATTATCCAGAGCTTGTACATCTTTATAGATCTGTTCTATTTCATTATCCGAAGTTGGAGTATATACTTAGATTATATTTAACTTTCGTTGGATCATTGTTAATGTAATCAGAACTACTCTATCGGAGATACGAATGAAAGAGGTCACTGACTGACATAAGTTCCTATCAACAACAATTGCTACTCCATCTGGTTTCAAAGTGTTTTAATATTCCAGGTAACGATCTTTGCACCGTTATTCTTTTTGTAGAATAGAAAATAACAAAGAAACATACCAATCAATATTATACAAACGAACGAAAACATCTACTTCCATAATCAAGTAAAGGCAAAGATAAATGGAAAACTAACACAGTGTATACCAGTACAAAGCGGAGTCAGACAAGGTGACTCGTTAAGCCCACGTTTCTTTAATATAATAATGGACGAAATAATACAAACTATACGTAAAGGTCATGGTTACAGAATGGGGAACAAAGAAATCCAAATATTATGTTATGCAGACGACGCCGCATGAATCGCGGAGGCAGAAGACGAGCTCCAAAGATTAACATACATCTTCAATACAACAGACAAGAAATACAATAAGATAGTATCAGCAGAAAAAACCAAATGTATGACAACATCTAAATACTCCCTACGATGTAAAATCGAAATTGATAGGAAAATAATAAAGCAGGAAGCAAGGTTTATATATCTGGGAATCGATATAACTAGTTACGGATATGTTGAAGAAGTACGACAACAAAACTTAAAAGCAATTAAAGCGGCGGGATCTCTTAATGACACAATCTGGAAGAACAAACACCTAAGACAAGACACAAAAACAAGAATCTATAAAGCAGCAATGAGACCTACATTAACACATCGAAAACAAGACCTGACACATCTAAAACGAGAGGACTATTAGAAACATCAGAGAAGAAAATACTTCAATAAATATCAGGGAAAACTCTGTTGGATAGGGAGAGAAACGAAAAGGGGAGCAGGCAATATAGAAAACATAAATGGATGGGTGATAAACCGGAAACAGCAGCGGAACGAACACATTAGTAGAATGGCAGAGGATAGAATAGTACCACCAAATGAACGAAGAAGTATTGGCAGACCAAGAAAAAGATGGTGCTATAATTTAAACAATTTAGGAAGCTAATATTAAAGAAGAAACTTGCTTTAAAGCCCACATACACGAAGAAGAAAAAAATAAAATAGACATTATAACGATATACCCAATTGGACAAGAAATGTGGAGAACCTATTACAGAGTTTACACATATCAGTTCCATACACACGAAAGAAAATAAACTTGACTGTACAAACTACAGAAGAAATGTTATATATTTCGCATGTAGACTGTAACGCAGAGTATCACGGAATAGGATAGAAAATCAGTTCGAAAACTAGGAGCAACAAACATGTTTTGGACCTGGAAGATCATGTGTTAATGATTTGTTTAGTATGAAACTATTAATGGAGAAATCACTTGCATATGGAAGTCAACTGCACATAGTATTCATAGACTTAAGGAAAGATTATGATAGTGTTTCGATAATTAAATTGTTTGAATCCAGAATAGGTACACCCAAAGTATACCAATCCAGAGAAAAATTATATAAAGGGTTAGTTACGTCAAGACGCGAAATGAATACTGACAATTCTTTCAAGTTAACAAGGGTCTGAGACAAGGATGTTGTCTGTCCCCCACCCTCTTCAAAATTAATATAAACGAGGTTCTGAAACAATGGTCCAAAAAGAGTAATAATGTAACTGGGAACCAGTTCGTTAATGTCTGTGTCACGTTTTACGTTTTGAATCTTGACAAAGGCAAGGGTTTCCTGCCGAAACGTTGATTAATTGCAATGGAAAATAAAATCTAGTTCCACATGTAACATATCTTTATTGAACCTAACCCAAGAAATATTAATTTTATATTAAATATAATACGGTTCAAGAAACTCAAAACTACTATATATATATATATATATATATATTATATATATATATATATATATATATATATATATATATTGAAATGATTTCAATAGGTCAAAGAGGATATAACTTAAAGGGATTTTTATATGAGTTTGTTGTTCATGAATTTCATGAAGCCATCACAATGTGGGGTCGACTCTGAAATAAAAGGGAGAAAAGATTAGTAAATTGCTAAATAAATTAATTTTGACTTACCTGGTATAGTGTTAATAATTTCTGAATAGTATAGTTGCCTAGTGTATAGGTGAATCGTCTAAACCTTAAAAGGAATAAAAAAAGAAGAATTCTTAAAAAATTATTTAAACATAGAAATTTTAAAAATAAACGTCAGAAAAATAAACTGTCAAAAGTCTGTGGGAACTAAATTAATAGGGGTTTTGTTAAATAAATTACAATGATGTGGAGATGAAAAGAATAAATTATATTAGTATTGTTAAGTTTTATATCTGAATTTTTTTTTTAAATTCCCAAATTAGATGTGATTAAAGTGCTTATGAGAAATTAATGTGGTTTGACAAATATGTCAAAACAGGACAGTTTTATGGTTGAATAAAATAGAAGACGGAATGAAAAAAGAAAGTGGGTTGCTGTTAGCAACGAATAATTTTGGTTGGTGCTAGCTATGGCGGTTAACAAGGAAGAATAGGTTGTTGGAGGCGACGAAAATTTTGGAGGAAGAGCCCTAAAAAGGTGGAATAGTCCGGGAGTGCTTTAAAATCGTTTAATTATAATTTAGTTTTTCCACATTTTCAAATAGAGATATCCAGAATTTGTTCCAGAGAGTAAGAGAAATTTTGACTTATAAATTATAATTGGAGTGCAGAAATGTCATTTAGATTGAAAAAGTAAAAATTCATGAATTAACTAATTGCGATAGGCCTTAAAAATTGAAATATTAATGATCATTTAAATAAAAATATAATAGTACGTACCTTTAACTTCCGAAGAGAGGATAGATATTCCAGTATCACCGATTATTTTGCGAGTAGTTAGTTTTCTTTAAAAAAAAAATCAGAACTGTTTGAAAGTGAGTTTGGATAATAATTTTGGGGATCATTTGAAATTTTGATTATATTTTAATGCTAGTTATAAGTCAGCGGCATAAAGTGTTCAGTTTTCTTTTCTTTATATTTCATTTAAACACTTTATAAAGTTGCAATAGTCATTTAGATTTAAGGTAATTGTAGAGAGTTTCCACATTTTGTAATCAAATTCTATTTTCACGACACATTAAGGTTTACACGATTCCTATTTTTGTAAATTTTTAAAGGCAACCCAAGTTGCAGACGAATTTTATTGTTTATATTAAATTTGTTCAATATTAATAAATAACGTGCTTCATTTGGGTTAATTTATCAAAAATATAAAGTAAATTTTGGTTTAATTTCTTTTTGAACTCTACCAGGAGACTACAGAGTTGACGTCACACAGTGACAGATTGCTTAGAACAAATAATTGAGCTAGCCGAGGTATAGTATATTAACAACGAACTACATACTTTTAAAATTCACTTCAATTCAATTAAATTTATATTTATTAACAATAAAACATAAAAATAATAAAAACAAAACTATTACAATTGGCGCTAACAACGTGGAGCCTCTGGGAAAACAGAAATAAGGGTGTAATTTTTAAGCAGATTTATTAATAATACACAGATTAAAATAAAAACAAATTGGTGTGATTAGAGTTGTAGAGATTCTGGGGTAGTTAAAGTTAAATTTGAGAATAAATAGAGATTAGGATAAAATGGCAGACCGAATGACTTTAAGAAATGGAAAAGAAATCGTACCGAAAGAGAGTGAAGGAGAACAGGTGTTAGAACAGGAACAGGGTATACAGGTAGATGAAGAAAGCAGAGGAGGATCAGGAGAATTTGTAGTACAATATTTAGAGCAAGGCAGACAAGAAGCAGGACAAGGTGATAGAGAGGGAAGTCTAACAGATAGTTTGAGAGAGGAGTTGGATGAGACAGTGAGAGATAGACGTGATGAAAGTGTGAATGAATGTAGAGTGCAGGAGGAGAGACGTAGGGAAGGAGATGTTGGAGAGTCAGGGATGACACAGATGGATATGAGGCAAATAATGCGGATGTTACAACAGATGGATCATAATATTAGGGGAGATATGCACAAAATGGATAGTAATATTAACAATATTAGGGGGGATATGAACAAAATGGAAAATAATATTAAAGGAGAACTTAGGGAAGAGTTAATTAAAATGAGGGAA